CACAACTGGGGTGTTGGGAATCGAATTCGGGTCCTCACAAGAGCAAACACACTGTTAATCACTGAACCATCTCTCCAATTTCCAAAAAAAACAAACAAACAAAGAATCTTTTTTTTTTTTTTTTTTCTGAAACAAGGTTTCTCTGTGTAGCCCTGGCTGTCATGGAATTTGCTCTATAGATCAGGCTGGCCCTGAACTCAGGGAGATATGCCTGCCTCTGCCTTCCAAGCGCTGGGATTAAAGAAGTGTGCCACCACAGCCTGATTGTGTGTGTGTGTGTGTGTTTGAGATTGAGTTTCTCTGTGTAGCCTTGCAAGTCCTGGAATTACCTAAAAACCTATTAAAGCACAAGGAACCAACAGAGAGGAGACCAAGGAAAGGGGGAGGTGGCCCAAGGAAGGCAAACAGGGAGCATGAATATAATAAGCAAAGCACAAAGATAAGTATGGTTGAAAATATCCTAAGGAAACCCATAGTTTTATATGCTAATTAAAAATAAACAAACAATAACAGGGCTCTTTATATGAAGGTGCTTGCCACTAAACCTGACAGCCCAAGTTTAATCCCCACGAGCCATGTGATAGGAGAGAAATGACCTCTAACCTCCATATCCATATTATGCTTACCTATCACACACATGCTGACACACAAATAAATGTAATGAAAAAAAAAAGAAAAATTGCGGGAGCCAGGTATAGTAGTGTGTGCCTTTAAATCCAGCACTCAGAAGTCAGAGACAGACAGATCTCTGTGAGTTGGAGGCTAGCCTAGTCTACATAGAGAGTTCCTGGCCATCAAGGGCCACATACAGAGAGCCTGTCTTAAAAATAAAATAATTGGGGGACTGGAGAGAAGACCCACAGGTTCCCAGACCCCACGTGGCAACTCACAACCAGCTGTGACTCCTATGCCAGAAGATCTGACACCCTCTTCTGGCCTCTCTTGGACATCAACCATGTATGTGGTGTGCATACACACAAGCAAGTAAACATGCATATAAAAACAATAGTGCCAGGTGGTGGTGGTGCGTGCTTTTAATCCCCGTATTCCAGAAGCAGAGGCCAGAGGCCAGCCTGGTTTACAAAGCAAATTCCAGGACAGCCAGAGCTACACAGAAAAACCCCATCTAGGAAAAAAAAAAAAATGGTGGGGGGAGCTGGAGAGAGAGTTTGGCAGTTAAGAGCGCTTCCTGCTCTTGCAGAGGACCAGAGTGCAGCTCCCAGCACCCACATGTATTGACTCACAACTGCCTTTGGCTCCAGCTCCATGAGGTTCTGATGACACCTCTGTCCTCTGAAGGCACCTACACTCACGTGCACACACATCCACACACCTGCTCAGACACACACACACTCACATGCACACACCCACTCAGACACTCACATACACACACCCACTCAGACACACACACACTCACATGCACACACCCACTCAGGACACACTCACTCACATACATACACCCACTCAGACACACTCACTCACATACACACACCCACTCAGACACACACACTCACATAATCAAAAATGGTTTTAAAGCACAAAATATAAAAACCCAGCTGTTGTTGAACTTTTTTAACTAGGCAAAGATGTGTTATATTTGTTTACACTGCATTTGTTTAATGACATAAGGATATGTGTTAAATTATGTAAAGATGTGATTCATCTGTTTCACCTTGCCTACCTAAGGCACCTAATTAGTCTAGTAAAAAGCTGAACAGTCAATAACTAGGCAAAGAAAGCATAGACAGGACTAGCAGGGAATAAATAGGAGAAACCTAGGTTCCAGAGAGAGGAAGAATGAGACAAGGAAGAGTGAATGAGGGACATGCCTGGAGCAAGAAGCCAGGCAGCTGCCAGCCAGACATAGGCAAGCAGTGAAAGTAAGATATACAAGCTGGGCAGTGGTGGCGCCTGCCTTTCATCTGCACTCTGGGAGGCAGAGGCAGGTGGATCTCTGTGAGTTGGAAGCCAGCCTAATCTACAGAACGAGTGCCAGGACAGCCTCCAAAGCAATACAGAGGAACCCTGTCTCGGAAAAAAAAAAAATGTAGCCAGGGGGTGGTGGCACACACCTTTGATCCTATCACTTGGGAGGCAGATCACAGAGGATCTCTGCAAGTTCAAGGCCAGCCTGGTCTACAGAGTGAGTTCTGGGACAGCCAAGACTGTTACACAGAGAAACCCTGTCTCGAAAAAAAAAAAAAGTATATGTCTCTTGACTGAATTCTTTCTTTCAAGAACACAAGAACCAAGTTAGTATGATGGCTCAGTAGAAAAAGGCACTTACTGCCCTGGCTGATGATCTGAGTTCAATACCCAGAACCCATCTGGTGAGAGGAGAAAACCAATTCCCACAATTTGTCCTCTGACCTCCACGTGCTGCCCACCTCGCAAAAGAAAAAGAAAACTGCAACGAAAAATTTTAAATAAGAGCCAAAGACCTTGGAACAAGTATTCTAAAACCTATTTTTTGGCTTGCATAGAATTTCTGTTGAATACATACAACAGAATCGCTGGGTGATACGGTGTAGACCTATGTTCTGTTTAGATATATACTGCCAGTTTTCCAAAGTGGGCTTTTGTTTGTTTCCCATTTATCTGATTATATACCCATGAACAATGTATGAAATAGATGTGATGGTTCATGCCTGTAATTCAGCACTGAGGCAGGAGGACTAACCCTGAAAAAGCCAAAACCAGGGCTGGAGGGATGGCTCGGCTGGTAAGAGTGCTTGGTGATCTTCCGGAATTATGATTTTATTATTTATTTATTTATCTATCTATCTATAGACAGTTGCTCTGTGTAGCCTTGGCTTTCCTGGAACTCACTCTGTAGACCAGGCTGGCCTTGAACTCAGAGATCAGCCTGCTTCTGCCAACCGAATGCTGGGATTCATGGAGTGTACTACCAGTGTCGGGTTCACGGGTCCCTGCTCGGGGTCCCTCGCAGTCCTGTTTTTCCGCCTCCCTAACCTAGTCGTGTGCTCTGCTGAGTACCTGCCCAACACACCAAGGCGGGCAGCGGACCTTTAGGACCCCAAAGCACCACCAAACGCCCACAGTCATTTCAGGGACGAGGGCGAACACGTTGGTTTTGCACCTCTGTGCGCGGTCCCGGGGACGCGGAGGCGCGAGGGGCTCTTAAAGCAGCGATGCCACCAGACTCTTAACGGCGGCGCGGAGGATGGCGGGGCCCAGGACGGTTACCCCGTGAAGGCTCGGGCGCTGGCACG